ATATATATATATATGTACATATATTATATGCTTGCATATATTTTTAAACCCCAAATATTGTTTTGATTGAATTGTTTGAATTGGCCTTTAAAAGATCATAATGCAAATTTGGTTATTCCTTTTATCGTTCTCTTATTTATATATTGACATATATTTCTTATATACAGTAGAAAGAGAGAATGAGGGAGAGAAAGAGAGAGAGAGATCGTTACGAGGTATCTTCCATTTGACATTTGCAACGCTCGCGAACAAAATTTCATTTGTTTATCAAAGAGTTAACAAGTTAAACAAAGATGAAATGATGCACGCGAATTTTGCATACGTTAAATGGAACGCATTCTTGGTATACCCGTCCGATATTATACAAAATTACACGGGCTCGCACGCTGCTATCTAATTTTGATTATTGTTTCAGCAGCTACAATAAGCACGGTATTGCCTATGTTTCATTGTCGGTATCTCATATGTTTCACCTGTGTTCTCACTATCTTCGATTAATTGTTAATGTTACTTGATTCTTAATTAACTGAATTATTAATTGAGAATTATTAATTGGAAGTTACAAGCGGAGCATATCTAATTCTTCTTCGCCTGAGTTGATCGTTGGTTCTCTATCATTTGTCTTATTGTTTGTGTTTCCGGTCACTTCACTACACTTCACTTGTCTACTTACCGAAACTGAAAATGAAACCGTAGCCATAACGATCGGTCGCCTAGGTTATGTGTGTCCCCACGACGTCGCCCCCATGTTACAGCAGTTTGTCCGACAGTGGTGTGTAAATTTCTTTATTATATTATTATTCTATTAATTATCTTCTATTTTTATTAGCACTCTTTATTATTATACATTATTACATTCCCGATTCCTGAGTAATTGCATCAGGGGCTGCTAAGAACTCTTGCGCAAGAACACAGTGGTGAGCCATGCTGCAAAAATGATTGTTTACACACACACTCTCTCTCTCTCACGTTACAACGAGAGTAGAGATTCCCGCCGAGCCGGTTGGGATGCTAATTTAATTATTAATATGAAAACGCTACCATCCTGCTGCAATTGCCAGCATGAACTTGCTCAATGGTTTTTTGCAGTATTCGCAGTAACATGTTATATTTGAATTCGTTACATGATATAATTCTCTAATCTTTATTTTGCCACCATGCAAGTGTGTTACGAGCTCTCCTGTTTATCCGAGTATCAAGATCAGGATAGGTTTACATTTGTCACTTTTATTTGTCACCGCCGCGTTCTCTCGCGTCTCAAGCCTTTTGCCACATTATTCGAAGGATCGCGGGTACATTACATCTAGTTTTTTCTCGCTCGATTATAAAAAATTTCAATCTGCATGCTGGTAATTTGGCATCTCGATCTCTGTCAAATTGTTTTATCTAATTATACAGTGTGCCGTGTTGTAAATGTCAAATGTAAACCCAGCCTTAATGAAACAGTAAGTGAAATATGACGCCAGTCATATGTATCTCAATATAGTTGTACGATATATTGCATAAAAAGTTGTCTTAGGCTAACATCGTAAATTACAATTCAGAGATCGATCTTTGCAATAATTAGTATATTTGCAATTTGTATTTATCTACCAATACTAGTTTTGATTTAACTATATCTTTGAAAGTTATGTAAATATTTTGTATACATTATCCACAATCTAGTAATAATAATGATAATTGAGCTATGAAGTAAGAGAGTGCTAATTATCGCATTGGACTGGCCTCACAGTAAGCCAATCGTTTCGTCTTCCGTCGAATGTAATTTAAAAAAGAAATATCTATGTGTGAATTGTGGGAATGAAAGTAAATGGCTAGTTGTTCAATTTTTGCCAGAACCATATTATTAAATATACATAATAAATATCTTTCTGTAACTATATTATGAGATGTAAAGAAAAATATTTCGATCATTTAGAATAAAGTTAATGATAAAGTTTAACGTTTTGTAAAGTCATCGAGAGAGTAAAACGTAATAATTTTAAAGTAAATGCTATAAAGTGCCGCGTGTTTTATTGTGATCGAAGTATTTTCCCCTCGAAGGAAGTTGAACAATATCTAATGAGATTGTCGATTATTAATTTATTAATAGGTGCACTTCTTTGCGAAGCATAAGAGATAACGAAGAGAAGGATTCTGCCTTCAGAGGTATGTGTCAAATGATCACTGTCAATCCAGCCGGTGTTGTTCCGGATTTCATTTTCTTCTGTGACGCTGTGGCTTCGTGGTCTGCGCCGAAAGAGGATCTAAAGGAGATGTTCCAGAAGGTAAAAACAGCAGCTGATCAATGATGAACTCGATATTTTCTCGATCGTAAGCTTATAATTATTATTATGTTGTTTATGTTTAGATATTGTTTACTTTCAAAAATCAAGTAGGTGAGGAGAATTGGAAACGATTCTCCGATCAATTTCCGCCACAGCTGAGTGAGCGGCTTCACAATATGTACGGCGTCTGAACAGCTCCGCCTAAAAGCGGTAAGTTAAATGATCTTTTAAAGACACATATTTTGTCTACATAGGTTCAAAAACATTACCCCAATACTACCTTGAATATCATTTTGTCTTTGTTTAATATACGATAAACAACAAAGATAAAATGGTATTCGGAGGCACTCTGGTAGTATTTCGGAACACAGTCATAGTTTGCTGAAAATATCCAGTAAATCAACTAAGATTGTCTTTTACGACTTTGCATTTGTTTTCAGAAGGCCGCTTAATGCAGCAGGCCGAATGGGGTTGGGCGGGAAACAAGGGGCGTTTGGGACGGGTGGGTGAAACCACGGCCTCTTCTCATCAACATCGTTGTCGTTACCGTATCATCGTGGTATGTTACAGTCGTGCTTTTGGGTAAAACAATCAAAGGTATGCTGTGTCTTTTAAGCTTTGGCAGCCAGTGTGAGTGGCAAAGAAGGAGAACAAGGAGAAAGATGTTAACAAGTCGAAGCTAAAAGGCAAGAACCAAGAACGACAAGAGATAAGCATTGGCCGAAAAAGTAAAAGCGTGGGTGGGCGGGGATGGGACTTATTTCGGGGTGGGAGGGAGGAATTTTGTGGAGATCACCGACTAGATACTTTGAAAGGCGGAACGAGGTAATAGCAATCTGATCTAATACCTCGGATGTATCGACGTACACGCTCTGTACGCTCCGTTAGCGTTTCTATTAGCGCTACCGCGGTAACACTGAACATGAAAGTGTTATTTGATTCTCGCGTATGTCAAAACGTGACAAATGCTGGCGCCAACAGCCAACTCTGCCCCAGCTCTTTAATACGATTAGATATATATTATTATATTATTATTGAGCAAACCAACTCGCAAGAACAGTTGGAACATAAGAATATTTAACATAGATCTCACGTTATAGAGATCGCGCGGATACTGTGATCGAAAATTTGTACGTTAGATATTGATTCTTTCTTCTTTTTTCCCCTCCTTTTTTCCTTTGAGCGAGCGAGAGAGAGAGAGAGAGAGAGCAAGAAAGAGCGAGAGAGCGAGAGCGCGCGGAAGTGAAAGATTATTCGAATGTGTTTATAGAGTTTTAGAGACAAGGTAGAACTACTTATTTGATAATAAATATGATACAAGATAGAGTACGTTATTAGAAATTTCATAGTGTACAGAGGGTTTTTCGAGAATATATATTGTATTTTTATACGTTGAGAAGAAAACAAACATACACATGAAGTTGATAAATGCAGAAAGTGCCATTCCGTCGTTTTGAACCAAAATTTTTCTGCTTATTTTATTCTCTCCCTTGCTAATATTGTGATATTAGGTTACGCGACAATTTTTGTCATCATGTGTAAAACATTTCAAATGTATGCGTGCATGTACATATATATATATATATATATACATACATATGTATAGTGTGCATTCTGTTATATGTATGCGTACGTATACCAACATGATACGATGTTTTAACTTGCAGACTATTTTGTGATTAATTTTTTTTTTTTTTTGTTAAACATATTAAATTAGTATCACATTAGTATTAGTGTAAATATAGATAAATACATTTTAGAATGGACTTTGTTAATCATTATAATAGAATGGTTTTTGTTAATCATTATAATAGATTATTTCAAATCTTTGCCGATCTATCGAAGTCTCTCGAGTTTAAAATTATCAATCAAAACAATTTTTGAAAAAAGATAAACGATTTACAGATGCGATTCACAGAGCAAGCGAATCTATGACGTGAAATCTATGGCAATGTTAATTTTATTTGCGCGATATAATGATCTCGATAATTCATTTGGATAAAGAAATCTTGCGTTTAAATCGTTTTTCAAAAAGAAAGAGAGAGAGAAGGAAGAGAGCAGACTGTCATTCCAGTCCCACTTGCTTGGGCCAGTTAAAAAAAATAAGCAAGTTCTTTTATCTAAAGTGATGTGCGTTTTTATCTCGGTTGTTACTTAAAAAAAAAAAAAAGAAAATTCTATAATTCATATTGTGACAAAAAGAATGTATTATTGACAATTGAGTATATGTACACATCTTAAACATAAAACTGCGAGTTTTTCAACAATGCGGTATTTCTGAATAGTTTTAAGATATGGAAGAAAGAATTATGTTTTAATTTTCACCTTCTCGCACACCACGCATCGAGACCAAATGAGAGAAGGAAAGGTGAATGGAAGAAATAGCATAAATTAGGGGGAGAAAGAAACTGACCATCGTGAGTTAAGTCGCTATTGTCAATCAAACTTTGAAATCTATCAATAAAAGATCCAACTACTGGCAGGAACCAAACTAGCGCAGGCGAGACGGATGTTTTCAAAAAGAAGGATTATATTAAAACTTCATTCTTTATAGTTGCAAAATGAGGAAAGGAGGAAGTAGATATTTTTCGAAAATTGAAGAATCGACGAATCGACGGTGAAAATAAATTTCCTCATCGTCGCTCGTCGAATAAGGATAATTTTGCATTGCAGTTCTATCGCATTTTTTACGGCATATGCGACAGATTTGCGCCATGCAAGCCTTTTTCCTTTCCATGAAAGGAAAGAGATCACGCGCAAATGGACAGACAAAGTTTCCGTGACCGCTCCTTGACTCGATCCACACTCGTTCGTCAACTTGGCAATATATGTAGATATCGCATATGTATATTGTCATAATTTAATCCCAAAACTCTGGCCCCTCTCCTTGCTCTGCCTGCGCATTTTTGTGATATTACTGTTTTTTATAATTACTTAAGAGCTTGGAAAGAGAAAATGTTAACAGAACTCGAGCCACATGCCGCTCGACGTGGGGTTCAAACGAAAATTCACAGCCACGTGTTTTTAATCCTTTCTTACCGCGTATACATGTATATGTACGTATGTGTAAATATTGCATATAAAAATCGACGTTGTTATCACCTCACTTCTCGCCGAGTTACATTTAAGAATTTAATAGTGGCTAACGAGACGATTTTTTACACACAAGTTACATTGTTCACTTCTCGATAGTTCCTAAGCTAGAACGGCCGATTTCGTCGGTGGTAAAAAAAAAAAAAAAGATAGATGCTCGTTGCCGCCGATCACGGATCTGCCGAAATTTCGCATCGCAATAGTATCTAGAATATATCGCGCGTGTTTTCCTGTGGTTGTAAATACGTTGTTTCCTTTTTGACTTGGTATAGTTTTGAATACACTCGCGGCTGATACATTCATATCGATACGTTCCCATCTCCCGTCGAGAGATCATGTGGCTCGCGATTACATATTATACGCTCGAAAAGCTCTCACAGTCACGGTAAGATCGAAGTAATAAATTTATAAACAATTATAAAGTAACAGTGAGATGATGTCTATTTATACATAATTATTATATTAAATATTAAAATGATAGAGGACTGAAAAGAAGTGATTAATGCCGATTGATATCTGAAATTTCCAATCTTTTCTATCGTCAGTGAACAAAATTGAGTGCAAAGACGTATGTGTGGGGTACATGTAGTAACAGGGTGATCAAAGGCAAAGAAAACTGGGGGAAAAAGTAACAAAAAAAAAAGAAAGAATATATGAATAAATTAGAACAAAGTAATAAGCGATATGAATCGAAACTCGATGAACTCACAAGTAAATATATTGTTGTATCTTTATTGTTGTTGTTGCATGAGACTAGCTTAATAGACTGAGCCATACACATGGTTAAATAACTATTAACATAATTCTTAATACTATAATTATTGTAATTAATATATATATCTATATATACGGTGTGTATTATATTTAATCGTAATGAATCCTCGTGTGGGCAGCGCTCGGAGCGGAGATTCCCGTCCTTTGAGATTACCAATCATTACTCCTTATAACACAATCGTTACACCGTAGCTGTTTTCGGTCTTAGGTGGCCGTGATGCTTTCTATTAAGTAGCCAAGGTATCTTCGATATACTTAGGATGTATTAGTATACTTAGAAGTATGCTCATCACAGACACGTGTGTCCGCGGACATCCTCCTATAAGTAAACCTTAATTGGGATACAGACAGTCGGGTATTCATCGAGTAACGCGGGATTATTAATATAATATATGACCTAGATTTATAGACTTTACAGTCGTTATTATCGCACTTGATATTGTAAAGGAAATTCTACAGTATAGACATTGTATAGTTGTATACATATTCGCTCATTTCGATCGAGAAACATGCGATAAATTGCGAAACGAGATTTCTGTGAAAGTAAAAAAAAAAAAAAAAAAAGAATCTTTTCGATAAAGATTCACAGATTTCTCGACATCAGATGTCGATCGATAGCATCTTTCCTTTCTCAAAGGATCGGGACTCTGTATGGGGCTGTTCCTAGTACCTGATTATCCTATCCTTGCGGCCACGGAAAGACGGTTCTACCAAAATGCAGGTCGTTTGCCGTAGTTTGCTTTCACTTTGCTGTTTTCTCTCGCAAGCGCCGGCGAATTCCTTTGTCCAGTGTCTATCAATCGATAATAGATTATACATACACGGTGTTCTTTTTTATTGTTGCATATTACCTTGACTGCCTAGTACTTAAGGATAATCTCTCCTAGTGCTCAGTAGTAACGTCGCATGTAAGTTTCGCACGGAAAAGAACACGAGACTACATTTTTCTGCTTTCCTACACAATGATACATTTACGCCTGTCAACGGCGGTGCAACGAAAGGGTGCTGCCCATCTCGGAAGAGCGATGAAAATAGTTTCGTACGTGTACTTTATATAATATTATTGACTTAAAAACAAAGTGTGTGATGGATTAACTGCGAATAAGATATATAACCAGAGTAGCGTAAATCAGATATAATAACCAGAATCCTTGATTCTCCTTAAACAAAAACGAAATTGTAATTTTAATTTGTTTCTTTTCAAATAATTGAAATTGCATTACAAACACGAAAATTCTGTGAATTTAAATCTCACTTCAAGTTAAACGACCAAGCTACAATTTTTTGTTACATAAAGAGATTGAACCAAAGTTTGACATTCTTTGAAAGAAAAAAAAAAAAAAGATTTTTTTTTAATTCAACTGGAAATATCTTATGCGCAGTTAATATCGTATTCGTTTTAAATCAACATGGCAATCACACTGTAAATTCATCATCTAAGGCTGAATGTACACATACTCGATAATTGTATTTTATAGCCTCGGCAATTTTTCATCTAATTACGAATTATTTTTCTCTTCGGGCGCAAACTCGTTGTAGTCGAGCCGGACGACTTTACACTTTATAAAGCGTTATATAAGCGCGTGCAAATATATTCAATTCGAGTAAATCTATCTATTCGGACGATAGACTATTGACGAGGAGCAAAGGTTGTAGAAGTACAATCGCTTGTTGTGTCATGTTTATACAAACATTATTGCTTCCTGCCGCCGAGTTTCTTCCGTTAATTGTCCGAGTCGCATGCTGTTTTGCGACACAATATACATATGCACGCGTTTAAATCACAGTTCAGATCCGGGATTGAAACCGGTAGAACTTCGTTGACTTCAGATTTCCATGCTATAGATGCGCGAAACTGATCTCCGTG